GCCGTTCGTTCCAGCCGCGCGCGCGACCTGCCCCTGCCGACCTGTCCCCTGCGCAGCAGCCCCTGTGTGCGAGCCTTCTCTGTCCGCACGCCTGGCACGCCCAGCCAAACTTCGCGCGACCCTGCCGACCTTCTGCATAACTAATGAGTTTACTTCCTTCTGCATTCTTTTGATCCTTTTTGTTGGCACAAAACTGAATGCAAAATAGCAATAACCAAATAAGCTAAATGATACAATTACAAACTAGAAATTGAAAGACAGTAACGTACCTCCACCCTGGAAGGTATATGGATTGCATAACTTGCTCAAAATACAAAGCCTGTTCTCTTTGGAGTTCAAAAATCCTTCGCCCTTTTTCATAGTTGCTACCAAAAGCTGTTCTTGAAATTACATCACTAGTAAATGTTTGAAGATAAGGCCACACATCTAATTCAAAAGATCCTTCTGCTGGGGCAAGGTTCTCCCATTTGCTTAACATCTCATTACAACTCAGATAAAATGCTGGCACCATGTACTGGATGTGAAGGAGAATCAAAAGCGTAAGTCTTCCAGCTTTTATGTTCTTCATTAATCAAAAAGTAAGAATGGAAATATTATTCAGTGAAATTTTAAAATTGGAAAGGCTGCATTTGGTTCTTTATCTGGACTAGATTGGAACCATAACTACATTTATATGATGCAATACCAAACACTAGCCAGTTCCATGTCTGATAAATAACAAGAAACGGCCAAAAGCATGTAAGATATTGAAACAGCACCAAATTTCAGGAGAAAAAGCTAGAAACAACCTTCAATTTCTCTACATGAAAAGCAGGATTCAATAATCTTCTGTGTTTGGCCCATTTTTCTGTATCCAGGCTAGCAAGTCCTAGTGCTCGAAGTTTACTGATTGGATTTGCCCGAGGCTTCTGATAAGTAAAATTTTTTGTGAAGACCTCCTTCACTTGTTCAGAATCCAAGATAACCATTGCCGGCCTTGGTCCAAGCCAAAAAAAGCTATTTTTACCTACAAAATAATTTTTGATAAGCAACTTATCCACTCTAAAATAAAAAGATTGGGTCAACCATATATGAAATGCATGATTGCTGAAAAACACAGCAAACCAAATAGTCTTCAGGCAAATTTGGAGAACAAACCTTTATGTTGCATTGTTTCATTGATGAAGGGCACGATTCTGGGAAAGATATCATCTGTTATAGAAATTGGTTTGGACTTAACCTCCTCAAGCATCCTTCCTATGTCTCTGGTGTCTCCAAACAAGAACCTGTAAGAGTTTCCCTGTAGACCTTGCCGCCTGAGGCTTTTCTCCATCTTCTTTGGTGTGATCCAAGCCCAATTCAAGAATCTCCATGCCCCGATGAGAAGAACTATAACTGACGAAACTCCAATCAAGCTATAGAAAAAGTCCATTTTCTCTGATGCGCTTCCACTCCTTCAGTCAAACTTTCTGCTGGCAGGGGGAACTTGCGAAGCGGTTAGTTATTAAGGATGGAGAACCTCAACTTTGGGACACTTAATTCTGAAATCTATGCATATCCATCTGTAAAATCAGCAAAGACAAAGTAGCTTGATGGTATGTTCTATGTTTACGGCATCTGCTAAAATGGAGATGCTCTGAGACTTCAACACTCACCTATAAAGGACATTTGAGCCTTTAATATTCTTGTTTATGGTAAAATGATTTTTCTACTCGTTCACTTAAATTACTATATGAACACACATAATACAATTATTATATCCTCTGTATTTAAACGCTTTCCTAGTAACTATACTTTTTAAAAAAAAAAAAATTAGCACTCTTGAGGCCACCCTTTGAGAACAAATCAACAAAGCTCGATTATCCTGCAAGCCTCACAAATCATCATCAGAAGTCTTTTTCTATCTGCCTTCTAGAAAAAGTGTCAGTTCAATAAATAGAACTTGAGAATTTGACTTTTGAATTACCGTAAAAAAAAAGGATGAAGTAGAAGACTATAACCGGCTAACTCTACATATAAATGGCTATTGTTAGAATAGCTACTCTTTGAACAGTCATCCATGGCTATTATTAATGTGCTAATGTGTAATAACAATTTGCACCCCTCAGCTATTATTAATTAGTGATCTGAACCATAAACAATTAATTGTAGCAATGTTGAACAAAAAAGTAATTGTAGCACTAGAGTCCATTATGTTTTTGCTGAAATCTATTTTTTTTTAAAAAAAAAAAACATTTTGTGGCTACAGTCAAATGAAAAGATTTTAGTACCCTAATGTAATATGTAGACACCAAATTTTAGCTCAAGTTCATTTACTCTTTATTTCTTAGTTTTTGTTTTTGTCATGTTTGTTTTATTCATTTTTAGTTTTAGTCTTTTTAGTTTTCATGTTATTATTTATTTTAAGCTTTTAGCATGGAATTTCTCAAAAGAAAAAGAAAACAATGAAAAAATGTAGAAAAAGATTAAAAAATGGCCATTTTTGTTGTTTTTAGTTGTTTAGATTTTTTAAAATTGTTTTCATTTGTTATTATTATTATTTTTACTTGGTTTTTGTCAATTCTGTTAATTAGTTATTATTATTTAGTTTTACTTTTGTTTTTGTTAAAATTATTAAAAAAAAAAAAAAAAAAGTCACGCATGCCAAAAGCTGCGTGTTGCCGCAGCTTGCAAGAAGTAATTGCAGGGAGTCCTTGGGGGGTAAATTTAGCTACAAAGGCCAGGTGCCTAGGACACCTGGAAGGGGAGAGGAATCTAGAAGAAGGGGGGCCGTAGGATGAAGGGTTTGGAGAAGGGGTTTTGCATTTTGAGGGTAGCCGCAAGAGAAGAAAAGGGGGAGTTCCAGCAGTGAGCGGCGGTAGAAAAGAAAAACCAGAACGGGAGAGGGGGAGTGACGGCTGCATCAGGAAAAGAAAGAGAACCGAGAGAGAGTGGAGGAGGTTTAGAAGGCAACAAAAGAAAGAAAAGGGAGGATCCGCGGGGGAGAGAGAAAGCAAAAACAGAAAAACTGGAGCAAAAGGGAAAAAACCGAGAGAGTGAGTCGTGAGCGAGAACTAGACAAAGGGAAAGGTCAGAAGATTGCTTCTGGTGGCGGCTGTGGATTAACGAAGGAACGAAAGGGGAAGGTTGAGTGACGAGACAGAAAAGAGCCACCAGAAAAAATAAGAAGAAGGAGAGAGCTAGCAGCAAAAGGGCTGGGCAAGATCAGAGATTCGAGAAAGAGTAAGCGGAAAAGGAGATCCAAGGTGGAAACCCAGAGTCAGGTTCGGTCGTCGATATCTTCATCGAATCCAGGCAGTGAACAGGTAGTCATTAACCCTTGTTCTTGGCTATTTTCATATGAAATCTGGTCTGCGCAACTAGACGTTCTGAGCTCTTACGTAGAGGATTTGATTGCTAGGCATATGTTGTCTTCGTGCGTTTCCTTTCATTCCACAGCCCAAAGCTGCTGCCTTTTGCTGCCATTTTTTTGTTGTATTATGGGTTTCTCATTTACTTAAATGTTGTGGAATCTGGTCTAGCAGGCTGCATGTTTCTTGGTTATGTTTATGTGCCAATTTGGAAAGAACAACCCGAAGCTTTACTGCAGAAAAATGGAATCTTGCTTAGATTGATTCTTTAAACCTGCGGGCGTTGCTCCCTCTAGTTACTGCTTGCATGATACTCTTCCTTTTCCATGTTGATCTGGCTGGCCGAAAGTGTCTTGGAGCTGTAAAATGGTTGAACGAAAAGTACAGCAAGTTTTCTTTTGTAGTTGCAGCCACTTTCATCCGTGGGTATTGCATGATTCAGATTCAATATGTGCATGATCTCTTGCTATGTTTGGCTTGTTCGGATGTCAAGTTTTTGTTGTGTTTGCTTAGCTTGAAGTTTGGATGATTGGATGTTGGGTCTAGATTCGGTACTTGCAGATGAAAGTTGCAGGCGCGTGTTCTTCGGTTGCAGAAATTTTCCTTGTAACATTTGCATAAAGATTGCTGGAATTTTCTTTACCTCATTTTTAGTTGATTGGTTTGCTGAATTCTGTGGTGGTCTTCAGTTTCGGATTGCATTGGTTTTGATTGAATGACATGTTAGTTGCTTTAGGTTTGCATCTAAGAAACCTGTTATATTGCAGCAATATTTCTTTCATTGCCAAAGTTTTGATTCATTTTGAAGTCCATGTTTGGTGTGTTGTTGAGTTGGTCTATCATGAACATGTTTACCCAGTCTTGTTGGCATTTTCGATGTGTTTTCATAGTTGCATTGCTGCATTCGATAGAAATAGAAGGAATGTGGGGTGGTCATGTTGCCTGGAATTTAGTTTGCTTCGCATTCAGATTGATGCACGAAATTCTGGACAGATCCGTTTCCTTCCTTTGCTTGTTGTAGTCCAGGTTTCATTTGAAGTGTTTGATTCACTTGTAGCTTAATGGGTATACCATGTACGCGCTCACCCCGAGCTGTCTTCTTGTTATCTAGTTGCATGATCGAATCTTTTGGGTAAAGAATCAGTAATGGAGAGAACCACTTCTGAGGAAAACTTGTCTTGCATGATCTCAATTCCAGTTTTTTGTAGGGTGGAATACTGAATGTTACTGATTATCTGGTTTTAGATTAAGGTTTTGATGTGCATTGAAGTGTTCTTGAGCAAAAGGGTGGAAATCAAGGTGTGAAAATGAATGTTGCGGCTGCATTTTCTGGTTACAGAATGCATTCATTACAAATATTTCTTGTTGCAGAACGTTTCACAGCTTTTGTACGCATTTTGCATGGAAAACTTTTGAAAATTGCATTCCAACCCCCCAAGTTCCCTTTTGTTTCACTATGGCCCAATCAATTGAATGATTCCCTCAATTTGGCCCTTGGTAGCTTTTAATTCTACATTTTCGTTGCTTGTTTGTTTTAATTAATTACTATGCTTTGTTTCAATCGCACTTAATTCATGACTTTAGGGGCTTTATGACCAAGAGAGCTTGTGTTTGCTTATTTTTTCAAATAAATTGGTACCTTGACCATTTCTTTTATTTTGGAGGATAAATAAATGATTCCACTCCATTTGGGGCATCGATTCGAGGGAGGTACACTCTATCCCTTATTTGCACTTCATTTGACCTTATGTGCTCCTACGTGTTATGTGGATATGCATGTCTACTTCGCTTTCCTTGCCTTGTCTAATTTTCTTTCCGTTATTTCATTTACTTTCTGCTTTCATTTAAGTTATTCATTATGGGGTATGTGTACACCTCTTGGCTTGTAATAGATAGGGCTTGGCGAGCATCTGGTCCATTTCCCCTTCCCCTTGGTTGCTTGCTTAATTGCTTTATTAGGCTCTTTAAGTTATTCATTATGGGGTATGTGTACACCTCTTGGCTTGTAATAGATAGGGCTCGGAGAGCATCTGGTCCATTTCCCCTTCCCCTTGGTTGCTTGCTTTTTGTTGCTACATGTTTAATTGCTTTATTAGGCTCTTGCATCTAGTCGAGCATGCTAAGTGTTACGTGTTACGTGTTTACGAGTGTTTTGGCATGTCTACTTGCTTTCATAGCCATGAATGAATGGTATGGATGAATGTACGTCACCACACTAGTCCAACGCTAGTTGTGGCTTCTTTTATCGTTTCCACTAGTCTAATGCTAGTAGGAATTCATAGAAAGGGCTAGTCCAACGCTAGACCCAATAGGATTTTTCCTTTGTTTTTCATTAATGCATTATTTGCCTGTTCACTACATATCATGCATTTTTCCCTTAGTTTTATCATCTGGCATGCTCCTCGATTCCCCTTTCCCCTCACTTTAGGTCTTGCATCTCATGCTAGTTAGGGTACATTCGCCTGAAGAGTCCCCTTAAATATGGGATATAGACGAGTGTGGCTTTTCTAAGCCTTAGCACGCTTATATTCCCTCTACAAAAGGGAAAATTGAGTCACAATATAGGTCTCCCCGTACCCGTCCTGCTTGCATTCCCTAGGCTCATGCATTCTAAATTCACTCTATCATTCTACACCCTCATTACACTTTCATTTTCTCCTCCTATTTTCACACATGCACCTTTATATCCCTTCACTTGCACACGAGCACCTTTTCATACACTTGCACACAAACACTTGGATTTTTCATACAATTTCACACATGCACCTTTTCATACACTTGCACACAAACACTTGGATTTTTCATACAATTTCACACGTGCACCTTTTTATACACTTGCACACTTGCACTTTAGCCATCATTTGCATTAATCGACCTCTATAAGGTTTCCTTTGTTGGCCGCCACAATTCATGTGGTTGGGACCAAAAACCTTACAAGAGACATTTTAGAATTTAGATTTGCATTTTTTCTTTCTTTTTGCATTCATCTAGTCAAATCCAACATGCGATACATACCTTGGGTAGGAAAATTAGGAAAAAATTGGTTTAAATCACGCAACTAGCCTTGGTTAGGTCGAAGGGGTGCCTTGGATTTTTATCCTTGCCTTCCCCTTCGTCAAATGTGACCCCCGATCCCTCTTTTGGTTACGTAGACCCAAAAAGTTCTCTAAAAGGGTTTATTTACTTTTCAAAAACAAAAATCATTTTTGGGTGACTTGGTACACCCTAACTCTATACCAAGTGGCGACTCCATTTTTGATACAAAAACCCTTTTTGAACTTTATATGGCCAAACCGTCGCATTATCAAGTCTCATGGCCTTTATTTTCATTTTGCACACGTTCACACACTACACACTCACATCTCACACCACACTACACACACCACACACATCATTCGAAAAGTGGGGCGCGACATAATAGATGCATATTAGGAGTATCAAGTCTTTTTCATTTAAAAATAGCAAGGGAAATTCAAGGGTTTGCAAATTAGCTAAACAAAGTGCTGCAAATTGATAGCACAAGTGATAGGGTGTTAATTGTTGGTTATTTTATTGTTAATTTCTCCCTTTATCCTTGCCAAATATTGTTTTAATTATTAATATTTACTTATATTTGGTATTGGACTCAATTTCAGGGAATGGAGCAGAAAACTACAAAAATGAGGGACTTTTTGGAGATAATTGAGATTTCAAACAACCGGGCTCACATGGTGCTACAAAGAGATTGCATTTCCTTTGCTGATTAGGAGATTGGAGTCCTACAAGTAATAGGAAACAAAACAAGAAGGAAAGCCTCGGTTGGTGCAGGAAGCTTTGGGAGGACTTTTGCTCTCAATTGTGCGGGAATCACGGAGAAAAGAAAGGCATTAGTCTATTATTTAGGAAGAAACGTACAGAGGCTAGGAAGTCCTACTATCAATAGGAAACAAGAAGGAATTCGGAGGGTTCCATCTTTTGGATTCTTTTCTCTTCTTATTAGGTTAGAAGACTAGTCACGGGGGATAGATGGAATTAGAGGCTGAATAGCCGCAGGACTGAGTTTTTTACTTTCGACAGTATCATGTTGGGAATTTCCTCAACAATGAAGAACTGAATTCTTATTTTCTAGTCAAGGGGACAATTGACGATTTGGTTCGACAATTACTGTGAGATCGAATCTGTTTTAATTATTTTCTTCATTTATTGGTATTTATATGTTTCTTGATTTTAATTGCTATGGCCTTGTGTATGATTGATTAGTGCGCAATAATTAATTATTCATATAGGTTATTTTTGCTAAATAGGGGTAATTGAATCCGTAATTATTCGTTATCTCTACCTCAGTAGCAACTGACGTAATTGGGTTTATGTCAGGGGAGCATATGATCTAGTTTAAACAAACCCTCGTAGCGTGTTTGTTGGTTAGGATTGGGCCTTTCTAATTATTAATGCAATCTAGGAATTAAATCCTACGGTCGTACCTAAGGTTATTTTTGGATTAGAGAAATAGCTAACGGTCGTACCTTAGCTATCGAGAAATTAAGGAAGGGTTGGTTGTTTATCGCGTGCATGACAACTATAACTAATCTATTACTAAATGTTGAAATTATTTCTGCATCAATAATCAGTGCATGAACCATTTCTGAAGTGTACTCTTGGCTAGAGTGTTCTCTTAATTATTTCTCTTAATCAATTATTCTCTGCAGTTAATTTATTTAGTTAGCATTCAATCCAAAACCCCCCATACTTTGGACTCTAAAAGAAACGAATTATCTCCAGTCCCTGTAGATTCGACCCTACTCACCGCTATATACAAAATCTGTATTTTTCTTGAGTAGGTAATTATTATTGCACAGGTTCGGCACCTGTCAATTTTTGGCGCCGTTGCCGGGGACTGGTGCCAGATTAATTTGTTTCTTTTTGAATTCATCTTGTTTTTATTTATTTATTTAATTTATTTTTCTCTTATTTTTTTTATAGTTTATGGCTTCTAACACTCCGTATTTTGGTGATAAACTGGATTTTGTTTCCAGGGAAGGCAATGAGGCTTGTTTTTTTGCTAAGTTTGCATATTCAGAGGCACTAAACTCTATTAGAGAATGAATGGCTGCTGCAACCTGTAAAATTTGTTATGCCAGGAATCATTCAACTGGTATGTGCCCCGAATATCAAGATAATCTGAGTGTCCCACTCAATAATTATGGAGATTTTTCATCCTGGTCTCAAACGTGGTATAACCCTAATCCAAACGGGTATGATTAAGGATGGTGGGATAACTCCAGTTATAATTATACAACAGGGCCAATGAATTTTCAGCAGTATGAGTCTCAAGAATCATCATCTATGTCAGGTATGTCTCTTGAAGAAATAGTTGAATCAATAGTTACTAATACATATCAATTCCAACAGGAGACACAAATGAGAAATGGGATGATGAAGGATGCAATGAGTAATCTGGAAGATCAAATATGTCTATTGACATCCAGAATAAATCGATTGGCTTCTCAAATTGAAGAATTGCCCTCGAAAACCATTGTTGATTTTGAAGAAAATGAGAGTGCAATTTGCTTGACTAGTGATGAGGAGATGCAAGAGTGTCAAAATGAGAGATCTACAGATGTAGTTGAAAAAGAAGCCGAAAAGGAAGAAATGGAACCCCAACCGCAACCCATTCAAGTGAAAGAATCCAGTGAAGAATCATCAAATGTGGTGACACCACCTCCATTCCCTAACCCGCATTTTCTTAACTCTTACTTTATGATTTCTGTTAATGAGATTGATTTTGTTATACCGGAAGTTTTTGAGTCTCATGGCAGAAATAAGTTAAGAGTAACTATGGTCAAATATCTTGAACCGTTGAGTGCTCTTGATGGAGGAGTGGATGAAGAATTGAGATCACTGCTTGATTATTTGGCGCCATCAATTAGTCCATGGAAGACCGTAGCTCGTGTGCTCAAGGATTACTCTATTTACGAGGGCTATCAGGACTATATAGAGGATGAAGCACTGAAACGAGCCACAAGATTTTATCTTCCCTGAGCAAACATGATAATGTCTAGCCAAAAACGTTAAAGAAAGGCGCTTTTTGGGAGGCAACTCAAATATTGATTTTATTATTTTTCGTTGTTAAATTCTTTAATTATGTCGTTTCTTATTTAGGTTGTGGTCGATTTTAATGTTTTCCTCCACTGTGGTCAGGACAGCAACCTTGGCGTGCCCACGCGGTGTTTATAACTCCTGAGGTCAGTGGACATTTACCAATCTTGGCGTGCCCACGCCATGTTTGATGACCCAAAAGCTAAGGAAAAAAAAATTTATTATTTATTTATTTATTATTATTATTATTTCTAAAAAAAAAAAGGAAATAAAGTATTTTAGCAATTACAATTTTCGAAATTTGAATTCAAAAAGGAAAAAAAAAACTGAAAAAAAAGAAGAAAAAAAAAACAAAAATCCACAAAAACTATTTTTTCTTTTCTTTTTCTCCTTTCTTTCTCTTTTCTTTCTTTCTTTCTTTTTTTCCTTTTCTTTCTTTCTTCCTTCTGCCCTCGCTGCTTTCCTTTTTTCCCTTTTTCCTTCGTTTCTTCCTCCATTGCCGCCGCCGAACCTAGCTTCCCAGCACGACTACCACCTCGCAGCTCTACCGCGCGCCAGCCCGCCGCCAACCGCCGCTGCTCCGCTTCTCCCACCCGCTACCAGCTCGCGGCCAAGCTCCTCTACCGTGCCTCCAGGCCGTCGCCCTGCTCCGCGAGCTCCACCGCACACGTCCCTCCCTCTCCAGCTCCACCTCAGCTCCACTTCACCCACAGACCACGGCCGCACTCTTCTCACCTAGCGTCCTACCACCATCGCAAGCTCCACCCCAGCTTACCGCCACCACCTCCCTCTGCTCTCTCTCCACTTCACACCAGATCACGGCCAATAGCTCCTCCTCCCAGCCCCCAGCTCCTCCACTATAGCGACTCCGTGCGCTCCGCCGCTGCCCCACTGCTCCACCACCCATGGCCATTTGCTTGGTGTCTTTGGCATGCAGCAGAGGTACTTGTTTTTCCCAATTTATTGGCTAATTTTCTAAGGTAAATTACTTATATTTGGGGTACTATTTCTGGAATAGATCTCTAGAGTGAATTGGACACAGGCTTTGGGTTCTATGTTGAACTTTGGTTTTCGGGTCCCTGCTAAATTATTTTACTGAATTCTTGATGCCCTATGACTGTTGATTTAAGTTGCTAAATTATTCGGGCCTCTGCTGAATTGTAGTTGGCAGAGTTGTGCATTTATTTGTTCAGTCCAGCAACTATAATACTTAGTGCATTGATTGCTGATTCATGGCCGTAGTTACTATCCCAATTCATTCATTTGGGACTTCTTTTAGCCCTTGAGATTGATATTTTCTAGACCCTCTGATAGCTATTTTATTTGGAAGTTATCGGGGGTTGACTTTGGGGGTTTACTGCTTTTGTTGGGCGTTTGTTGCGATTTTGGGTTGGGCATTTAGTTGCTGTTTCTGTGCACCATCGGTTGCGATTTCTAAGAGGTTCTTGTGGCTGATTTAATTTTGCTCTGATTCCATTTTTGTTGTGCACCATTGACTATTGGGCTTTTGTGCTTAAAGTGTTGCTCCTGCTAGATCTCCGAACTGTTGCTGGAGTTACCATTTTCTTGGGTCAATTGCTGATTTTGGCAGGTTGAATTGGGGAATTGACTATCCAATTGGAGGCAGCTGTTACCATTTTGGGACCAATTGTGTCTATTTTGCTGTGATTTGTGTCTAATTGTGGGTAATTTGCTTGTTAAATTGGGAGGTGCCTATAACGCTTAAATTTGCTTATTGAAGTTAGTTGCCTCTGATTGCCTTGTTTAGGAGCATTTTATCCTTTTGGTTTCCTTTACTAAGCTATTTGGAGCACTTGTTGCATGATTGGATTGCCTTGATTCTGAATTTGACTACATTTGGACCACAGGGGGTCATTGATTGCATTTGTTATTAGTGTTGAGGTATTCGTATAACCTGTGGGTGATTGAATTGTGCCTATTGTTCATTGGGTTGGTTTTAAACAAAAAATTGTTATTACTTTGAAATTCCTGTTTCCATTATCTGTTGGCAATTGTAGTCCCTTGTGATTAGAGTGACATCTAGAGATCATGGTAAGACCAAGATCCGCTTCTAGGTTTAGGACACCTAGACACTCGCAGCCTCCTCCTACCCCAAGGGCTGACGAATGGCACCAGCTCCAGATGCGAGTTGAGCGACTAGCGACTCGGATGACCCACATTGACGTCAACCTGCATCACATACGCAGAATTTGGCAGCATTTATGCCCCATGCAGGCCTTGACCTCAATTTCCACCTGAACTGCCCCTGTTTTGATGACTTCAGGGAAGTACCGTTGCCCCTCTCCTTCCTTCTACTTTTACATTATCACATTGAGGGCAATGTGTGATTTAGGTGTGGGGGGGAGATCAGTTGGGGTGCTAGTATTTTTGTTTTTAGTTTCTAGGGGCTTTTCCTTTATTTTTAGTTAGTTTTTGCCTATCTTTCATTTATTTTATTTTCTTTTTCTTTCTAGTGGTCAGTCCTTAAATGAATACCAAGTTTTGATGCTGGATTGTTGTCTCTAATTATGTTATTGCCAAGTTTTAGTAATAAAAATATATCAAGTTGATGTGGTTGAGTTCAGGAACATCTCTTTGGTGAATATCAATAATTGCTTAACTTTTCCAATTTTTGGTTAACTTTTCTAGGTATAGGGAATGATTGTTGGCATTCTTCATATGAATTGGTCCAGTTATTAATTTTAGTTCTCCATATTTGGAAATTTGAGGCTGGCTGCTGTTATTTTGTGTCATTTTTAGTTATTGTGCTATATGGTTGTAAATAAGAATTGACTGTACTCCGCTAGTGGTTACTACTGAGTAACCGGGGATCTTCACCTAAAGTGTTGATTTTTGCGTCAAAAGGTAGTAGTTGCTATGAGTGCGTGGTCTCGTAGCGATTGGAGCTGAGTAACCGGGCTCCTCCATCTGGCAAATGTTGGAGTTCGCGTCAAAAGGCTCTAAGGGCTATAGACTGAGTCTTTTGTTACTCAAAAAAAAAAAAAAGTAAAGTAAAGATTGTGTTAGTATGTGAATAAGTCAGCTTGCCGGTTTGTGATCTTAATGTCGAGATTTTAGTTAATAGTTGGACCATTTGCTGATAAATGTGAGCAACCATTCCTTTTTCTTAGATCAGTTTGCCTTAAATTGGAGGAGTTGGTGGTTAGGAAACTAACTGGGGTGATTTGTCTTTGATCTTGGCCTGTGATGCTTGATATATGTTTTTCTTGGTACCTTGGCAATACAGCAGTTGGAGCAATGCCCATTTTTAAATATTGGTGTTATTTGTCGTCCCCATGCTTGAGGGCAAGCATGATTTAGGTGTGTGGGGAATTGATAGGGTGTTAATTGTTGGTTATTTTATTGTTAATTTCCCCCTTTATCCTTGCCAAATATTGTTTTAATTATTAATATTTACTTATATTTGGTATTGGATTCAATTTCAGGGAATGGAGCAGAAAACTACAGAAATGAGGGACTTTTTGGAGATAATTGAGATTTCAAACAACCGGGCTCACATGGTGCTACAAAGGGATTGCATTTCCTTTGCTGATTAGGAGATTGAAGTCCTACAAGTAATAGGAAACAAAACAAGAAGGAAAGCCTCGGTTGGTGCAGGAAGCTTTGGGAGGACTTTTGCTCTCAATTGTGCGGGGACCACGGAGAAAAGAAAGGCATTAGTCTATTATTTAGGAAGAAACGTACAGAGGCTAGTAAGTCCTACTATCAATAGGAAACAAGAAGGAATTCGGAGGGTCCCATCTTTTGGATTCTTTTCTCTTCTTATTAGGTTAGAAGACTAGTCACGGGGGATAGATGGAATTAGAGGCTGAATAGCCGCAGGACTGAGTTTTTTACTTTCGACAGTATCATGTTGGGAATTTCCTCAACAATGAAGAACTGAATTCTTATTTTCTAGTTAAGGGGACAATTGACGATTTGGTTCGACAATTACTGTGAGATCGAATCTGTTTTAATTATTTTCTTCATTTATTGGTATTTATATGTTTCTTGATTTTAATTGTTATGGCCTTGTGTATGATTGATTAGTGCGCAATAATTAATTATTCATATAGGCTATTTTTGCTAAATAGGGGTAATTGAATCCGTAATTGTTCGTTATCTCTACCTCAGTAGCAACTGGCGTAATTGGGTTTATGTCAGGGGAGCATATGATCTAGTTTAAACAAACCCTCGTAGCGTGTTTGTTGGTTAAGATTGGACCTTTCTAATTATTAATGCAATCTAGGAATTAAATCATACGGTCGTACCTAGGGTTATTTTTGGGTTAGAGAAATAGCTAACGGTCGTACCTTAGCTATCGAGAAATTAAGGAAGGGTTGGTTGTTTATCGCGTGCATGACAACTATAACTAATCTATTACTAAATGTTGGAATTATTTCTGCATCAATGATCAGTGCATGAACCATTTCTGAAGTGTACTCTTGGCTAGAGTGTTCTCTTAATTATTTCTCTTAATCAATTATTCTCTACAGTTAATTTATTTAGTTAGCATTCAATCCAAAACCCCCCATACTTTGGACTCTAAAAGAAACGAATTATCCCCAGTCCCTGTGGATTCGACCCTACTCACCGCTATATACAAAATATGTATTTTTCTTGAGTAGGTAATTATTATTACACAGGTTCGGCACCTGTCAACAAGGTATAGAAGTCCTAAAACTGATAATTGAAGATGGTTTAGGGGAAAATGTTGCAATAAGCTCTGGATGTAATTTTAAATACTTGAGCATGAGAAGGTCGCATGTAGAACTATATCTAAGGACCAAGAAATTTGATGCGAAAAATGGCGAATTTTTTTGTTACAGTCTTGACTCTCAATGGTTTGGAAACAAAAAGATCAATGTGAAATTTGTTTTTGATCAACTGCATCCTCTAATGCAGTTCATTAATAAACATAATAAGAATCCCAGAACATTAACATTTGTCCTTTTTAACCTATTAACATTAATACTTTGCAAAATAGCAATAACTCCAAAATCTTCTTGTAATTGCACCAAAAGTTTATTAAACCTTACAGAAGCAGCGACCCAAAAGGCTAGCATGATAAGCAACATGTAGCAATTACAGAAGTTCAGTCACATAATCAATAGCACGCATATATAGTTCAAGTCCTGGATTCGCTGGCGTTCATGAAGCAGATGATTCAGATAACAGGTTTATACTACAGTTTCTTCATAATCAACTGAGCACCATACTGAGGTTGAAGAAGGGTAAGAAACAAGTATGGGGCATGCGTATACAATGGAGAAAGCTCAAAGGAAAAGCGCTGTAAAATTAAAGCTAATGCCATTTTTGCTTCAAGCAGAGCAAAGTTTTGCCCAATGCATATCCGAGGTCCCCCACCAAATGGCAGAAAACAGGGCTGGCCCTTAGTAGCCTTTGCAACTCCCTCGCTAAATCTCTCTGGGTTGAATTCCTTTGCATCATCACCCCATAAACTTGGATCATGATGTAGCAAGATTGAAGGCATCAAGACAAACATTCCAGCAGGTAGAGATAGTTCCCCTAATTTAGTGTCTTCGTTAACCCTCCGGGAAATCATAACTCCTGGTGTATATAGTCTTAGAACCTCATTAAGGATCATAGTCACCTGTAAAAGAAGAATTACAAACCGATGCTTAAATGGAGTGCGAACTTCGTTCCAAGAGAAGAAAATTGTAAGATAAGTATCCAGACAATGTCAAGTGTCAACTAATAGCTGTTGCCTACTAGAAAGCAGAAACATTACACTAAACTCGGATATTGTTGTGCTTCAGGTAATGGCAAAAGTAAAACATGTCCTGAGTGAATGGAATGTTAGGCTATGATATTCTTTATGAAGTCTTCTGCATCCGAACCCACGAAACTAATTATTCTTCCAAAAGAGAACCTAAAAAACAAGTCTGAAATGTGGCTGACATTCATGATATTCGAGTCTAGTCACTGCAGATTTGTGATACAAAACTGAAATTCTTGAATAATATCATACTATTCTGTCATCAAAGCTTGTCCTCTTGATAAATTGAAGCTACTTACAATTTTCAGCCGATTTAACTCTTCAAAATCTGGTATATTGTTGCCAAAGACCTGAAGAACCTCATCTCTAGCACGAGCTTGCCAGTCTGAATGCTTGCTCAACAAGATTAGTGTCCACACAAGCAAGATTGCAGTTGTCTCATGTCCAGCAAAATAGAATAGCTTGCACTCTTGAATGACCTCTTCAGAAGTCATCCCAAACCTTTCATTCCCATGTTCTTGGATCTCCTTGAAGTTGGATTCTAGAAGTAAACCCAACAAGTCACTATGAGTAGCTTCCCCTTCTTGCATTGCTCTCACTCTTTTGTTAATGATGCCCAGTATCAATGATCGCACGTCCTTGAAAATTTTCTTCATTTTTTTGTTTCTTTTTGTAGGTAAAAATCTATATGAAAAGGAAAATATGTCAAACAGTACGGACAAAAACAATTTGTCAAATATTATGTTGGTTGCATCAGTTGGATCTTTACCGTCTGACTGAACCAAAATAGCTCAAGGATGTGTAGATAAAAACTTTGAGAAATTTTTTTAGATTACTATAGTTAAAGTTGGTAAAAAACTAGTATAAAACAAACTCGAGTAAAAACTCAACTTCCAAACAAGCCCATAGTTTGCTTAAGACGTTTAGGTCCTACAAAATCAAGTATGCATGTCTCCCTTGGTTGGTTAAAGTAAAACGTTTCGTCTGATGGCTGACTTTGACATGTAATCCAAGCGTAAAAGCGCACATTATCCTGAATCTTGATCATCAAAAGAATGTGTTTAAAAACGGTGAATTTATGGAATTACCTCCATCCTGGAACATAAATTGATTGTATAGCTTGCTCGAAAAGTTCAGATTGTTGCATTTGAAGCTCAAATATCTTTCGTCCTTCTTCATAGTTGCTACCAAATGCTGTTCTTGAGATCATGTCGCCAGCCAAAGTTCTAATATCGGGCCACACATCCAATTCCAATGATCCATCTGCCAAGGCACTGTTCTCCCATTTGCTCAACATTTCACTACAACTCGAGCAAAATGCTGGCACCATATGCTATGTAAATAATGAGGGGAAAAAAGTTCAGTCTCAATTAAAAGCCATATGCATGGCTAAATTGTTGATGTCCTCAAGTATATGCCATCTCGAGTACGAATTAGCAAATCTAAAATTGCCCAAAAACCAATTCAATATCAACTAATTATGCAACTTGATGAGTCAAAAGGTAAGTAGTATTACCTTAAGTTTCTCTAAATGGAAAGCAGGACTTATGATTCTCCTGTTCTTGGCCCATTTATCTGTATCATATGTTGCAAATCCTTCTGCAAGCAGCTTACCAAGGGGATTATTACGAGGCTTCTGATAAACATAATTTTTGGTTAAGACCTCCTTTACAAGTTCAGGATCAATAAGAAGCAATGCAGGACTTGGTCCCATCCATGTTAAACAATTTGTACCTGCAAGGTACAGCCACTGATAATAGCTGAAGACACTTTATAATCAAAACAATAGTTGAATGAACAAATTGCAGGTTTATCATTTCATCCCATAATGAAATTCTTTACAATTTCAGTGAAATATGTAATGATTTATATTCTACTATGGTCGATGCAGTCTTCTGAATAACAAAATATAGGGGATCGCGTCATTTCTGAAAGGGCGATAGGACTAATGGATTTGCGTAAAATTCATAACATATATTTCCAAAACAACTTTTTCCCTCGTATCTTTCAATGACAAGATAAAAATATGGCATCAATAAGGAAACATACTACTCCAACTCAACAAAATGATGCCAAAAACACTAAACAGCAGCTTCAGAGGAAGTATGTTCAAGCAAACAAATTTGACTACATTACTTAAGCGTTAAGACCATCTGGTTCTGTTACTCTGCAATAAAAAATTTATTAGCATTGAATCGGCAAAATAGGAGATGCAGCATACTCATGTATGACTATATTCGAATACTTTCCTTTCAGTTTAAATAATAAAAGAAAGGCACAGAAAGGGTAACGTTGTCTGGCCATTAACAAATCGTACCCGAGCTTCTGTTGAGTTTATCCACGAAGGGCAATATTCTGGGAACAATATCATTGGTGAAATTAATTGGCTTGGAATAAGCTTGTTTAACCATCTGGGCTGTTTCTTTCATGTCTCCAAAGAGTAGCCTGTAGTGGCTTCCACCAAGACCTTGCTGTCTGAGGTACTTCTCCAGCTTTTTCGGCTTGAACCAAACCCAATTCAAGATTATCCATGCCCATATCGTAAGAAAAACAGAGCATAAAACTCCGATTATGCTGCAAAACGTATCCATTAATACAAATAATTCAGAAGGAGCAAATGAAATTCTTGATTGAAACAAAAGACTAATTGTATCATGCTGAATCAGTGAGTTTCATTTTATTCCTGGTCGCTTAGATGGCCAGAGTCCACAGGCCCAGAGAAGTAGAGATATCTAGTTATCTTGAGTTCTCTTGGTCAAGTCTGGCGGCGATGCCTTCTCCATTTCCAAAGTCACGCCAATCATGAGGTGACCTGCAGGGATGTGATGTATACATGAAGTGGATAATGCTTGTAAATTCTGTCACAACGTTGTCGAGGCGTGGTGTACACGGGGAGGAATGGGTGGGCTAGGTGGCACGGCAGGAGAGATCGCATCTACACTTAAAAAATATATATATATATATAGGTGTTGTGTGCGTGTAATGTTGTAATTTCCTGGTGAAATTTCGTAGAGGTAGCTCAAACTTTGACTTCTATTCTTTTAGGCAATTTGTTTGGATTGTGAATTATTAGAGATATTTTTACTGTAGTATCTTTTTATGATGCGATGTATGTGAAATAAAAAGGTAATTAGGAAGATAAAAAGGTGTATTGAAAATTATAACGATGATGTAAGCAAATATATTTTGACAAATAAACCGCAATCCAAACATTAATATTAACTCAAATCGTAGTAGTTTCCAGGATCCTCATTCTTGCTGGTGGCCAATTGAATTTTAGATTCTTTTTGTTACTAAAAAAAGCTAATATGTGTACAAGCAAACGAGAAAATCTGAAAAGTGATTATCAAACAAACCCTAAGTCATTTAATGACATTCGGCGATTAGATTTTGATCTAGTAACTAATGTTAAAAGGCTTGAGAAATTAAAAGTCCTGGAATTACGAGATTTAGGTTTATCTTAACTATTTTCTGCCGTCATTTGTAACGTTATGTTTGTCTTTCTCCCACTTCTTGTGGCTCAACGTAGAATAAAATAAGGTTATAGTTTCCTTGGAATTTCGGGCTCAACCTTGGTATGTTTTATGATTACATAATTTGCTCAATGCAAGTTCTCTACTGCTTTAATTAACAATCATCTATTATGGATGTGACAGTCATTAATAATCCTGTTTATGATAAAATCAAACACATTAATATGGTGATGTCCGCTATGTTTTCAGAACCGGACCGGATATCGACTCGGCCGAGGTCAGGGGTCAATGGGTTCGACCGGGGGTCGATAGGGGTCGAACCGGATGACGTCATAAATAAAAATTATTTAAAAATTAAATTATTGTATATAAAATATCCAATAACATATTGATATTAATAAAGGTATATTTATAGATATTTGATGTTTCAAATATATTTAACAAGAAAATACAAAGAAATTAGAACAATCAAGTAACAATTTATATTATTTAATAAACATTAACAAGTTTAGAATTAAAATTATGGATTTAATTGAAAAATAACATCAAATTTTAGGACAATATTTATAAAGTATGAAATATTTGAGGTATATTAATAAGTTTTCACAATTTAGGGGGTCAAAACATAATATTAAAAAAATTTGAACTTTTTTTACAAAATCTCCTGTTGGACCGGTTTTTCCGGTTCTGTACCGGTCAAACCCGATTTTTGACCGGAGTTGACCGGGTTTTAAATCTCCCGGTTCTGATGATCAACTCGGACCGGACACCTGGCCGGTTCCCGGTTCAACCGGTCGGACCGGCCGGTCCGGTCCGAGTTTGAAAACACAGGATGTCCGGTGGCATTTTGCGCCCTTCGACTCTCATTAATTAGCGATTTGATCCATAGGCAATTAATTCAAGAGCTTCTAATTAAAAAAAACGAAATTGTGCCACTCAAGTATATTATACTTTTGCTCAAATCTATTGCATACAAAAGATTTTTTTTTTTTTAATAGCTCCTGACTCCTGCTAAATGAAGAAACTTTAATATCCTAAGTGAATAGATGCATATTAGGGGTATCAAAGTCTTCTTATTTATACATAGTAAAAGAAAGTCCCATGATTTGCAATTTATCTAAACAATGTGCAAAAATTGATAAGATAAGGTACTAATGCTCGAAATGTTAGGGTGGCAAAATTAAAATTGATGATAGTTTAGGGGCAAATGTTGCAATTAGTTTTTGCATAAAATTTTAAAAAGATTTTTCTATTCATGCCAAAGCACCACACCATTAAGAAAAAAGGAAAAAGACACAAAATGTATCAACGTCTGATTCAATTTATTGAAATACTCTAACTACACCACCGGGAAGATTGGCTTAAGCATCTAATCGATCTACTAATACATGCAAGTATATGGAACACAAGGATTATTTCATGTTGTGTGTGCAAAATGGATTGAATTAATGTATGAACAAGAAGCACATACCATAAGTTTTGATGGTCTTATCAATGAAAGGTATGACTCTGGAGATTATCTCATTGGTGAAATTAATAGGTTTAGACTTTGCTTCTTGTGTTATCTTGACCTTCTCTTTCGTGTCTCCAATCGCTAGCTTGTAAGAGTTTCCCCTTGAACCCTGTTGTCTGAGGCATTTTTCCAGCTTCTTCGGCTTGAACCAAGCCCAGTTCAGAATTCTCCATGACCATATCACCAGAAATGTAGCAGACAACACAGCAACTAGGCTATGAAGAATATCCATTTCTTACTGAGTAAATGGTAGCGCTGAATCAGTTGTGCCGTCTAGTTTAGGAATTGCGTGGTACTACTATATTTCTTTGTACAATTTTTGTTCTCTTAGTGTACATTTGTTCTTGATTAAAAGAAAGTTGAAACCATCTAGTTCTCCAACAAATTAATTGCAAAAATTATACAGTACTTAACATTTTAAAGTAGTTTAACAACACAGCAATAAGAGTTTAAACAATCCCTGAGCTGCAATGTCAAAGCCTCGTCCTTAATGCAAATCTAGGTTTATTGTCCACCCAGTTCTTGGACCTACTTAATACAACACAAAACATGTCCCGAAGTCATTATTCTCACATCATGGATAAATTTGTTGTATCTTGTTGTACACTACAGTTTGCGCAAAATCAGCTGAGCACCGTGCTGGGGTTGGAGAGTGATGATTGTGTGAGGAGCATGCGCATACAGAGGAGAAAGCTCGAAAGAGAAGCGCTGCAAGATCATAGCTAATGCCAACTTTGATTCTAACATTGCAAAATTTTGTCCAATGCAGATCCGGGGTCCCCAACCAAATGGAAAATAAGTCAGCTGCCCTTTAGTTGCCTTTAAAATTCCTTCACTAAATCTCTCTGGTTTGAATTCTTTTGCATCATCACCCCATATCTTACTGTCGTGATGCAGAAGGATTGCAGGCAACAGGAGCTGCACTCCAGCCGGTAAAGTTAGTTCCCCTAATTTGGTTGTTTCAGTAGTCATTCGACCAAGCATTACAACTGGTGGATATAGCCTTAGAACCTCGTTCAAAATCATTGTGATCTATCAAAAAAGGTAGTGATACATCAAAGATAGAGATTAACATTCTTATAAAATGAGAAACAGAAAAACTGTAATCAAAACGAAGGATTTCAATTTTGTGTAACAAACTTACAACTTTCAAGTGATTTAAGTCTTCAAACTCTGGTTTCTTGCTGCCAAAAACCTGCTGAACCTCATCTCTGGCACGATCCTGCCAGTCTTGATGCTTACTCAGAAGAATCAAAGTCCAGACCAACAAGGATGAGGTTGTCTCCTGTCCAGCAAAATAGAACAACTTGCACTCTTCAATGACTTCATCTAAAGTCATTCCAAATTTCTTATCTCCATGTTGTTGAATCTCCTTGAAATTGGACTCTAATAGTATACCCAATAAGTCATCATTCTTAGCTTTCCCGGCTTTCATTGCCTTCACTCTGTTATTTATCATATCCATCACTAATGACCGAACCTCCTTCGCAATTCCCTTCATTCTTTTGTTCCTCTTAGTCGGCACAAACCTGTTCAAAAACAGACAATAAATTATGAGATGCATCGACCAAAATAAAAGATTTAAACACTGATAGTGTACCTCCATCCCGGAACATAAGGTGATCGCGCAGCTAGCAAGATCAGCTCAGCCTGTTCTTTCTGAAGTTCAAAAATCTTCTGTCCTTCTTCATAGTTGCTTCCAAATGCAGTTCTTGAAATTACATCACTTGTTAAAGCTTGAAGCTCAGGCCACACATCCAATTCACAGGATCCTTTTTCCGAGATTAATTGTTCCCATTTGCTCACCATCTCAAAACAACTCAAACGAAATGCCGGGAGCATAAGCTAGAAGTAACAATTAGAAGAAAGCTAATTAGCCTTGGTCAAATAGTATGTTTATCTTAAACAGAGACTTAATACTGTCTCAATTCTTGAACTCATAATAAACAGCCTTAACAGTAGCATCTTGAAAACTCAAAAAGCATATGGTTTTTTTTTAGACGGACTAGATAAAGTAGAAATTACCTTCACTTTCTCTAGATGGAAAGCAGGATTAATAAGCTTCCTGTGTTTGGACCATTTATCAGTTTCATAGCTAACAAGTCCCGTAGCAAGTAGCTTGCTTAGTGGATTACCAGGAGGCTTCAGATAATTGAAACTTTTGTTCATAACCTCCTTTATATGTTCAGGGTCCATGAGCAGGACTGCAGGCATTGGTCCAGCCCATGCGTAGGAATTTTCACCTACATGGCAAATCCGGACATGACAATGAAGCCTAATCAAGAAGCATAACCATTTACTAAAGATAAAATTGACCTTCAAGGTGCAAAACCGACATGTTTCACCACATTTTCAGAAAAGAAAAAGTCCTCGATAATCAATTGTTTGAGCATCATCAATCAATCAGGATAACTCACTAGTGCTTCGAGAGAAAAACATAAATACACTAGCTTATCAGATGCCAAACCATGACAAAACAAGTAAAGGGCTAATTATAACCAATTAATACTTGAATGATGAAAAGCACGTAATTCAACGCGAAGAATACACAGATAAAATGAGTATAAACTTTAAATAGCTGTATTTGCAAGTAAAACATACCATAAGTTTTGATGGTTTTATCAATGAACGGCATGACTCTGGAGACAATATCATTGGTAAAGTTAATGGGTTTAGACTTGGCTTCTTGGATCATCCTGACAGTCTCTTTCATGTCTCCAAACACAAGATTGTAAGAGTTTCCCCTCAAACCCTGTTGTCTGAGGCATTTCTCCCGCTTCTTCGGCTTG